GAGTTCTTTCACTTTTTCCTTGTATCTCATTGCAGGCTTCTGTGTTGCAATGTCTGCGGGTGGTTGTGGACTTCCGGTTAAGCGCTCCTGCCCTACTTGTTACTTTTCTTGGGACAGGGGTAGCTAGGACTCTGGTCCTGGCTCCGGCCTTTTTGTTCCTTTTCCAGAACGTACATTTTGTTTTCCTGTGGTACACGTCCTGCGTAGTTCTCTTCATGTATATCTCGGAGATGCGTGCCTCGTTCTTCCCTGCTAGAGCTGGTTGCGTGGCTCCTTCGGGTTGTGTCGTCGCTGTTTTTCGTTTCGCGTCTCGCGCTTTAGTTCGTGGTACTCGTTTTCCTCATTGGCCTCTGCCTAGGCTATGGCTCTTCAGTGTTTGGCCTTGTTGGTCCTTCAGGGCTCCTGGGAGGGGGGGGGGGGTTCCTCCCAGACGGGGCGTTTCTGCTCGCCCGGGTTGGTTCCTTTCCGGCTCGCCGGGATTGGGTTCCTGGTTCCCTGGCAGCCGTTCCTTCTGGTTTTTTGCCAGCCGTGGTTGGGGCGCTCCCGCAGCTCCACTTCTTTTTGTAGATTGGTCCAGCCCTGTACGAGGCTGTTTCATTCTTCCCCTCGAGTCTTTGCATCTCGGGTTTTTATCTCTAGTTTTTTGTAGCTTGTGTGAGCTCTGGTGGTTTCGTTGTTGGTCTCCCATCTGTGTGCTTTGTCTCGGTGGCAGTGTATAGTTTTCTGGCGGTCCTTCTGGTTTTCCTATCACTGCAAAGGGTTCTTCGGTCTCTGATAGGGTTGTCTTGTCTTTCCCTTCGGGATTGATCCTGGACCGTCATCTGGTGCCGTGTACTGTCGCCTCGTCTTGGATAGTGCTGGCGGGGCCGCTCCAGCTTGCATTTGGTGTTGCTGTTCCTTCTGCTTCTTTCCGCTTGTTGTCTTGGGTGTTGCTTCACCTCTGGCCTGCGCTAGCGCTTACGGTGTCGTTCTGGTCGTTGACCTGGGTGGTCTATTTTCCTTCTCCTCGGTTTGTCGTGATTCTTTCGGTATTGGTAATGTTCATTAATATGAATGGTAATATATGCGGTAATGTTCATTGTCTACATAAATGATCTACCAGATAGAATACAGAATTATATGAAAATGTTTGCTGATGATGCTAAGATAATAGGGAAGATAAGAAACCTAGATTGTCATGCCCTTCAAGAAGACCTGGACAAAATAAATATATGGAGCACCACTTGGCAAATGGAATTTAATGTGAATAAATGCCATGTTATGTAATGCGAAATTGGAGAACATAGACCACACACTACCTATAAATTATGTGAGAAATCTTTAAAGAATTCTGACAAAGAAAGGGATCTAGGGGTGGTTCTAGATAGAAAAACTGTCACCTGATGACCACATTAAGAACATTGTGCGAGGAGCCTATACTACACTTTCGAACTTCAGAATTGCTTTTAAATACATGGATGGGAAAATACTAAAGAAATTGTTCACGACTTTTGTAAGACCATAGCTGGAATATGCGGCGGTTGTATGGTGCCCATATCTTGAGAAGCACATCAACAAACTGGAAAAGGTGCAAAGACATGCCACTAAAGTGGCTCCCAGAACTGAAGGACAAGAGCTACGAGGAGAGGTTAGAGGCATTAAATATGCAAAAACTAGAAGATAGAAGAAAAAGAGGCGATATGATCACTACCTACAAAATAGTAACAGGAGTCTATAAAATTGATTGGGGAAGAATTCCTGAGACCCGGAACTTCAAGAACAAGAGGTCATAGATTTAAACTAACAAAACAAAGCTGCTGGAGAAATGTAAGAAAATTCACTTTTGTAAACAGAGTGGTAGACGATCGGCCGAGCGGACAGCACGCGGGACTTGTGATCCTGTGGTCCCGGGTTCGATCCCAGGCGCCGGCGAGAAACAATGGGCAGAGTTTCTTTCACTCTATGCCCCTGTTACCTAGCAGTAAAATAGGTACCTGGGTGTTAGTCAGCTGTCACAGGCTGCTTCCTGGGGGTGGCGGCCTGGTCGAGGACCGGGCCGCGGGGACACTAAAGCCCCGAAATCATCTCAAGATAACCTCAAGATAACCCCATAGGGATCTGCCTGGATCCATTGTGATGATTTTTCTTGTTGGTTTGACCAACACTTGTATTGGTGTGACTGTCACAGAGGATGTAGGCGAGAGAGGATTTGATTTATTTACATTGTGTTGGTGTTGTTGTAAACATTACTTGTAATGACCAAACCTAACTATATATGATATTGTATATATGGACCATATATACAATATACAGTAATCACTTATTTGCCATTGTTGCCAGCTGAGTGGCTCCTAGTATGGCTGCTCTGCATGTTGACACTTGACTGTGATGTACCAGACATGGTTCTCATCTTTTTACAAAGGCCCTAGAAGGAAAGTGCGAGACTCAGGATTTTTGTCAAGATGAGTGATTAATAAAGGCCTGAAAAAGCGAATGTGAGCCCAGTGTACCCAAGGGAGTTTAAAAATCATATGTTGGGATGCACAGCTGAATGGTTAAATTGAGTGGAAATTTGACGAGAGAATATGTTGGAAGCCAGGAAACAAAGTCAGTCTAAGAAAGACCAGGAAATATTCATACTAAGTACATGAGAATGTACTGAGTGGTAGCAGTTGTGAAAGCCACCACCATTCACAGCTTCATGGTCAGATGTGATGACTTGAACGTCAGCAGTCATGGCGGCTTTGTTTACATTCATTGAACAGTTTACAGCTTCCAAACATTACAAGCTCAAGGGTATTATTATAAATAACCTTCAGAGCTCACAAACTGTTTAATGAATGTAAAGAAAGATGTACAGGTTTCATAAGTGGACGAGTAAATACGTGACGAGTCCTGGTCATAAAGAGCTAGATGTCAAGGTGTGCTCCCACACGGCTCTCTTGTAGTACACTTGTCTTTCCTAACATGTGTAAACAAACTACCAGAAAGCTTGTACATATCAATGCTCGCAGATTACACAAAAGGTTATGCCAGAGTAAAAATTGAAGATGACTATAGTGTGTTGCAGGAAGACCTTGGCAAACTCCAGGAGTGGAGAGACAAATGGCTTTTTCAATTCAAACCAAACGGGTGTAAGGAAAATATGATGATGAGAAAGGGTGTTATGGGTACAGAATCTACACCAAAAGATGATGGCAATTATGGGGAAAAAAGAAGAGATTTTGGAGTAGGATTTAATTCCAAAACTAATACCAGAGGCATGCATAATCAGGATAACATCAACAGCATTTAGGAAGTTTGTGAACGCAGGAAGAACACTCGAATCTAAATAAGAGGTATTCAAGATCAAATGTATTGCCTATGTAGGACCATTACTTGAGTATGCACCACCTGCATGGAATCCACATCTCGTGAAGTACAAAGTGGTCCATGTTCTAACACTAGTCTCCTCTGCCAGAATCCACATTCCCTAGTCTTGATTATTTCTCTATATCAATACCCTATAGCCTTTCCATTCACGTTATGATATTGTTAGTGAGACCACTACACCGGTACAGAGGTATACTGGTACATGTGCTCCAGATGTATCCAACGTTGGCAGCACTATACCAGAACAGATGTGGACATAATCAACAGGTTGATATGGTTTGCGGAACAGGTTCGAAACACCTTGCAGAACAGATGCGACATAAATCATATCAACTGTAATGTACCATTTAACAGTATTGCAAACTTTGGACCTGACTTTCGTCCAATTTTTTTATCTTGAATCCAAACTTTGGACCTGACTTGCGTCCATTACAAAAATATTTGTATAAAATTCATTTTTTATCCGATCGACCTTGGGATAGTATCAAAATAAGCGCCTTTAGAATGCGCACAATTTGATACCAAAATGAAAGATATAACATGAAACTTGATGTCCGAGCACTTGAAATATTATAAATAGGTTCTTGCTCAAAATATTAAAATATTTGGTAAAATTCTATTTATTGTCCTATTATGTTAGGACTAGTTTTAAAATGCGCGCCTTTACGTTGCGAACAATTTGTTACCAAAATGAAAGATGTAACACAAAAATTTATGTCAGAACACTGGAAAGATATAAATAATTTTGTAATGATGAGCTTCCAGAATTAAAATATTTGTTAAAATTACAGTTATTACTCTATTATTATGGGACTAGTTTTAAAATGCACACCTTTTTATTGCGAACAATTTGATACCAAAATGAAAGACGTAACACGAAAATTGATGTTATCAAACTGAACGAGTATACACATTAGGTTGCAGTGTACAAATTGGTGCTCGTTCACGGGTAACTTTAGGCTTTTCTGTTGGGAGTCACGCCAGGCTTTTGGACGTTATATTCATACATACCTGTAGGGAATTTAATTGCGAACACAATGATACCAAAACGAGCGACGTAGCACAAGAATTAAGGTGAGAAAGCTGAAACGAGTATATACATTTATACGTCACCGCGTGTTTGGCCGCACGCTCGCCCGCACGTTGGGTCCATGACCTCTAAGTTGACCGCGCGCATGTCGGGTGAGCGATAGTGTTAAGAAATGGTAATGTCTTCTCAGAGAAATAACAACAAAGTATAAAAATCCACACATGTGTATTAGTGTAATTTCTTTACATAAAAATCACAAATACACAAGTGTGGGTTTTTATCCTATTGTACCACTTATACTACTGCATATGTTCTATAAAACATTTCTAAATTTTACTCATAAAATCACAAGAATAGAAAACCAAAAATACAACTGGGTGGAAATTATGCATATCAATCTCAGAGATCGCATAACGTTGAACCTGGATTGAATTTGGATTTGAGACAGGTGCTCTGATAGCCAAATATGTACATCGTCTGGAGCTGTGTGATGTAAGGAGGTCCAAATACAAGAGGTGCACTGTATATGATTTGTAATACTTTGTTATGGTTAAAATATAGTAAAATTATTCATTGAAACATTTCAGAATTTTACTCATTTGATTCTTTTCCTTTTCAGATATGTTCTTGAAGGTTACAATGGTCTCTCGTGGCTAGTGCTAGACCCTGCTAAACAGGACCGGAGATCCTGCTTGCCGCTACACATGCAAGTTCTCTCTCATCTATACAATGTTATGGCAGCCCTTGTATGATAGCCGATCATTCAACTCTTGAGCAAGTTTGCCCATTTATTTATCATTCTTCCTTTCTTTCTTATCTCAATTCACTCTGGTGCAATTAATGGGCTTTACATGGAGATACTATTAGGCCACACAGTTGCATGACAAAGTGCCCGAGACACAAAATTAGTCTTTGTTCAAAATATGCAAGGTTGCTATTAAAAATAGTCATATGCTTTTTTGTATTAATTTCACTTTTAATATTTTAAGATTCTATCGTAATAAACAAATCATAGAATCTCTAAAAAAAAATTACTTTTCAGAACAATTTAATACAGGGCATTATGTCTAGAAAATTGTCAAACAAATCAATATGTTATTGATCAAAGTAATAATTCAAACAATAATAATAATACAAATGAAAGGCCTTTCAAATTTTGTGAGGCTTATATCAACTGATACACTAGCCAAAGCACATTTAATATTGTAATGTTTGTAGAGAAAGCGTGTGCCTGGGTGGACCCAGAGAGCAGACACCTAGGGAATCGGTATGCATTGTTCTGAAGCACATTATCTGATGACAAGTGTATGAAGATTAGTGGATAGCAGTTTAACCAAAGCATTATTTAAATAGGGCTGATGCATAATTGTTGTAAATGCTCAAAGGGAAGGTCATACCTCACAAAACTTGCATTATGTCTTAAGATCGCTGTATATACTTAATTTATTATGGCCAGAAGTCCACCACAAAAGCAATCAAAACAGTCCTGCCTTATAATAATGGACAGAGATGTAACATAATGGGTGGATAAACTAGGAGCACAAGTTTAGCAAATTATATTGAAGTAAAATAATGCTCATATTTCACAAGATGTATTTTGGAATCACACAATGAATTTGCCCGAGCAAGACTAGGTGGGCCATTGGTATCGTGGGCTGGGTGCAGTAAACCAGTGCATTGTTAGTGACTAGTATCCAAGCAGGATTGTCTGTGATAATGAATAACAGATTGATTGTACTTCATAATTGGATATTTATGCCTTTTTATTATTAACACTTGTTTCAGCATAGCCTGGTGCTGATCACTTCAATAATGTAAATAGGCAGTGGTGTTGTACAAGCTGGGTGGGTCAGATCTTTTTATGCCCTGATGTGCTATTGCCCCGAGGCTCTCAGAGTAGTGTACAATGTCGATTGTACCAATATGTGTACATTTCGCCTCTTGCACCTGTAGCCAAATTGTACATAAATACTATGGCAGGTGGCTCCTAAACGGAGGATGAGTTGGCAGTAGCACATGAGTGGCACGCAGGTTTCCCCACCTCTCTCCCAGCCCCCTCCCCCTCCCCCCACTGCTCTTGTGTACAGACCCTAGGTTACATGTACAGTGAGACACAAGTTTTACACCTCCTGACTCTTTATACAAGTTAAGTATTTTCCCCCTAATGCAACTGCCTCCAAACTTGATGCAAATGGAGGGGTTGTGATGTAAAATATTTCTGTCAGTAAATTCAATTGTTTATTTTGAGACTAACTTGAAAAACATAAAAAATCAAGTAGCATGTAAGGTTAGATAGTTTAAAGAAAGTATTTTACAAATGAAACATTTGTACAAGGAGTGTATTTTAAAAAAAGAGGTGAATAACCAAGTGGAAGATGGCAGAAACCTTCCATGGCAAGTATTGGCTTCACTCGTCCCAGAGCCTCAGGAGTCGGGCAATCAGGCAGCTAAGTACAGCGATCTCTTCCCTGACCCTCAGCTGCAGGTTTCTCTTGTACCAGCATTATAGCCATCTCATGTTGCTTAAACAATATTAGGGTGACTTTTTTATCATTGACAGTGAACAGCTGAGCTGTTTTTGTCCCAGTGTATTTGCAATATTTGCAAAGATGGGGTATTACAAAGCATTGATGTGCTGCAGCCAAAGATATCAGAAATATGCCTGAGAGGATGCCCACTTGGGCCAAAGGGATTGAGACTGAAGACAAAACTTAATGCTCTTTTATGCATTCTTCTGAGGTTGGGACAGCCTTACGCCAGCCAGGGTGTGTGTGGAGCAATCTATTTATGTGCGTCTCGTTAATTCTGACCTGCCTACCTGTCTACCAAGTGGAATGTGTGAGGACTTAGTTTTGTTAAATTTTTTAAAAAATTTGTATTTTACAAGGAAATTTTAGCATTTTATATGTAGAATTTTATTTGTGTAAACAATTTTTGACTATGCAGTATTGTAGACAGAGTATTTGCTGGTGTTTCATCAGGTTATGAAAAACACTGACATTTATTAAGCAGTTGTTGATTCTCATTCCATTATTAATTAAAAAAATCATGGGTACTTTTTTTATGACTATTTTTGAAAGAAATTCTGAACACTGCAATAAGTGACTGGATGCAATCACAAGAAATGAGAGAGATTAGCTTTGTGTAGTGTGGACAGATTACAGGTCTTAACCTGCCGTGGGTCTAGTGGCAGCTCCCTTCCTTCCTTGCTCAATTACTATCATCTTCATTGACACAACTTTCTGGCCAACTTTGTACAAAAGCATGGAAACAACATGTGTATGGTTAATACCAAAACTTCACGAATATAATTTACAAACATGCACTTGCCCTTACCATGCACACATGCATTCCAACCATGCACACTTCATGCACTTGTGTGCACCCCTCCACGCATGCACAAAATACTGTGTGCACACCCACACTATGCACACGTCCACCCCTTCCATGCTATTGCACATCCACATCTACATGCCCCCCACACACACGTATCAATACACCGCATGGACACAGATGCCTTACACATGTACATTATATACAGTACTTCATATAAAACATCTGCCAACTTGTATACATTCCCGCATGCACACTTCTTCCACGACCAACACACCCAATTCTCCTTACACCACACACACACACACTCTCTCTCTCTCTTCTCTCTTCTCTCTTCTCTCTCTCTCACATACACATATGCTTGTACAGTACATACAAACATCATTTGCACTCGCATACACTTATATCACATTGCAGAAACACGATATAATACATTGTGCATAATTAAATATGTTGTTAACAAAGTGGAATCACTAATTCCAACTTAATTAAAAGAACCCAAGAAAAAGTGTATCTGGGTCATATGGTTATAGTTTTGAGAATGTTATATTGTATAAACCATTACATCAGTTGGGCATGAAGAGGCATTATCTATTGTATTTTATTGTTATCAATGTCTCATTTATGCTGCAAAAAGAATAAAATAAATAAATAAATAAAATATAATATATACCTGTATATATTACAGTATATACATATATATTATTTTTATCCCTATTAGTTTTTGACTAAATAAATTTTATCCTACTGGATTTGTCTGCACAATAGAATATCATAATTGTTTTTATTTGTTTGAACGAACCATATCTTATATTAATAGGAACTTAAAAGTACTGTACTGTAGTTCTCTTTTTGTATTTTTTATAACTTAGAACAGTATTGATTGTTAACACTCATACTTCAGACATTGTTGGTCACTGTTAATTCTGCACTCTCAAATGCTGTCTCTTTTTGTCAGTCTGTCTTGTACTGTTGTGATTATTTTCTTGTTTAAGACCATACGCCTCTTGTGTTTGTGATGGGTAGCTGCTCTAGCCCGAGGGCCGTGTGAGTCCGTGCACGAGTGAGAGTGAATGTTGGGCCAGTCAGCTCCAGCTTGACCCACTGTCATTATTATCATTGGTATAAAATACAATTTTATGTGTAAACTTAATGTTTCTCTTTCCTTTTATATATTCAAGCCCATGATAAGTGGGTTTAGTAAATATAGCTTCCAGCAATGGACCATTTGCTTAAGTCCTCACATGTGATAATACAGTAACAATAAGAATAATAACAATAAAGGCTTTGCTAATATACTCAAATATATTTGTAGTTTTACTACATGATGATTGATCTCATTTGAGGCAATGTATGCAAATTATAGTTGTGGCTGGATTGGACTACTGTATATCCATAAGAAACTTAAAATGTACAATGAGTAGCCTCTTGAATGGGTATCTGATATTTCAATTTTTGTGTGCCACAGCCAGCTAAATAGTTATCCAGGCTTGGTGCCTTCTCTTGATGATTACTTGTAATCAGTTACAAGACTTGTGTAACGTACAGTATATGATTTTGAGTGACAACATTCAAAGCATATGCTCAACACGTTGATACGACACATCAAGTCAACTGACCACACAAAGGCTCCTGGCTTGTCCTATTCCTTATATGATAGTTACTTGGCATTAAAGCTAGTTAATTCCTAATGGATACACATAATAATCTCATGAATGTCTAGGAGCAGGTTTCAGACGAGCTGATGTAGGATAACAGATCTTGTTGCAGTTTCACTAGGAACCTCAATGACTGACATGGGGTTTTTTAAGTATTAGTTATAAAAAAAAAAAAGCTTAGAATCGGCGAGAATCAAAAAGCAAGTGAATCTTGGCATCATCTGCAAACTACTGTAACTGGAAAGCAACATCAGGATGGGTGGGAACATGGCAAAATTTGGTTGTCATGCATCTGCTAAAGACGAACAGCCAATGATGGATTTCAATCGCAAGAAGATGTGAAGGGTTACCTTGCAGTTACCTTGCAATGATTTCGGGGCAAACGATCACTGCAGCCCTCATGGTTGCTGGAATGGTGAACCAGGCTGTTGGATACAGCTGCTCACAGCCTGGTTGATTAGGTATCATTTGGAGGTGTTTATCAAGTTCTTTCTTGAACACACTGAGGGGTCGGCCAGTTATGTCCCTTATGTGTAGTGGAAGTGTGTTGAACAGTCTCGGGCCTCTGATGTTGATAGTTCTCTCTTGAACACTGTGAGGGGTCGGCCAGTTATGTCCCTTAAGTGTAGTGGAAGTGTGTTGAACAGTCTCAGGCCTCTGATGTTGAACAGTCCATGAAGGGTCTCATCTCTAGGAGGAGATGGCATATAAGAGATTGACAAGTATAAATAACAAGCCAATGCCATCAACAGACTTTGATTCATCCATAAACAGAGTAGAAGCATGTGAATGGCAGTGAAAATGTTAAGGAAAAGGTATTGTTGAACAACGAGTATAAACCTTCACCACACAGATTAGTACAGTATTAATATCCAACAAGATGGACCCACTGTGGTGGCAAGATGGGAACTATGTGAGCGAACATATTGCAGACATGCGGAGAGAGAGTAGCAAGTAATCAATGTGGTAAAGAAAGTGAGCAAGGTATTTAATAGGGTTAGCAGTCAAGGTGCAGTACAAAAGTACAAGCATGAATGGAAGAGAGGGTCCATGCAAAGTATCGATGGCAATGCCGAATGCAGCAATCTTGTAACAATGGAACACGGATGCCTATGTACTGTACAGGCTCTGGGTTAGAGCCTGTACAGTACCAAGAATGAATGGGCCCCAAACTGAGGCATAGGTTTGTATGATGTATTGTCAAGATGACAAAGGGCCAAGGAATATGCAGTGCATGCATAGTTCAGCATATATAGTCATGTTTGCTTATATACACCCCAGATGTGTAACAGGACTTAAGGTAAGGCACTGAAACATTCAGTTTGTGATAAAGGACATGGGATGTCCAAAGCAAGTGGGTGTCAAAGATCAAACCCTAAAAGCTTGAATTATATTTTTATACATGTTGATACCTATAAAGGATCAAGGGGGTGTTGGAAGATTTGTTTTCTAATACAGTGACCACTCATTTATTCTGACCTCAATAGCTAAATGCTTCAATTAATAATATCAGAATACCAAGAGTATAGCTGTCAGGTTACGAAAGACCCGCAGCAACCTATGTTTACACATAAGAACATTGCTTTAATAATGTAAAATGTATAAAAAATAATATAAAATATGACAAATAATTATAGATTGTTAGAAATATACTGCCTATATTTCCCTGATAAAATAACTGGAAGCTCAGTGTTGGTATAATCCTGTGAGCTAGTTGTGTTCCTGCCTCCTGCTCCTCCTCCTGTGATACAACAAAGTGACACTGTATCAGAAGGATTTTATTTACTGAAATTTGCTTTTGGATACAATCTTTGTTGATTTTTAATACACTAGATGTGTAAGAGCAGCAGCATCCAACCTGTAGATGTTAGTGATCCAGGTTATGGTATGACAGCTGAACAGTTTGTCGTACCATAACGTGGATTGTTAAGAGCATTAATGGTGACATGAAGCTAAACCACAAATTAAAAAATTTAAATTTCTTTATTTGCAACATTCAATTTTAACAAGGACAAAACCACATTTATTTTTTTGTGCCTAATTCTGAGTTGTTGAATCCAAAAATTGCTTTAAACAGTTCTGTAGTTATTGTTTGGCATAGATTACAGTAATTGTAAGAGTTAACTGGGAAAGTCCTAGTGGTTCACTGAAGCTATCTTCCCGAGATTGCTTTATGATAATGTGTAACATCCGTCATGGAAGTTGTGTTTGGCTTACTGAGGACCAGAGCCAGATTCTGGCTCTGGTCCTCAGAGGCACAGAGCGAGTGACAATTCGTCACCTGTTATGGTCTGCTTGGGCCAGTAGCTGGGTTCTTTCTGCGTAATGAGCCTTAGAGCCTCTTCTATGATCCCACCCCAAGTCAATGGTAAGTTCTCAAGAATTGATGATAGCAAGGAATAAAGGGGTAAAAAAAGATGCAATTACCTTCACCAATATATCTATTGAAGTATAACTACATTTATGTACCCTGTCGCTTGCACCCAGGACACTCAATATATCAGCAGTGTTCTTCAAATCCCGGTGAGTCCACTATCTTCAAATATACATCGTCCACACTCAATGGTAATCACCAGCGAGTTCACCTTCCTCAGCATGGGCCAGTCCATACACACCGTATCGTCACTATGTCCCAATACCCCCACATCTGCTCTACAAAAGCACACTGGCAGAGGGCTTCAGCAACCTACTGACAGGGGTCTTTAACACCCTGGCAGAAGTCTTTAGCAACACACAAACAGCATTTCTCAGCAGACAGCCACTACTGTCGTCTTGTAACTCCTCTTGGCCAAATCCCAGGTACGTTGGTCCACACAACACTGCACAAGTACAACAGCTAACACACTGCTTACTACTGACAGCGGCCACTTGTCCTCGCAGGAAGCAAGTCAGGAGTTCTGTACTGCTCAATGTGAAATGAGTATCAGAGTGCAGTAGACTTTCCATGTCACCTCTGTGAACATAAAAGTCATTAGCCAGACAGAAAGTATACAAGGAGAACATAGCATGGCAACTTTTCATTGGTGAACGGTAAATGTAATTTGATGCACAATCTAGATGGCATTGATATCGTTACTTCACTCACCAGAGGTCGTCATATCGACCTTACCTAACTGAAGTACGAAAAAGGAGCCATTCCCAGATGCCACACCTGCGCCAACAGATGGCGTTGTCTTTGTCTCACTTAATGCCTTGGAGTTGGAGTGCAGGTCCATTTAATGGTGTTGATATTGCCACTCCTCACTCCAGCAATAATGTTGATATCGTAACATCACCCCACTGGGAAGGCCGCCAGAAAGTTAGAGAAGTGTTACACACAGCTGAAAGGTTCATAGAAAATGAAGCCTTGAAACTACCAAATAACTCTGCAAATGATACACAGAACAAGGGATTCACTCAACTAGCTCAAAGCTCATTAGTATCTGACCAAGCCAAACACCAGATAAAGAGACAACGATTCATTCCTGATTCATTGTCTCTTCATCTAATGATGTGTAATTTGGTCATCGTATCTTCAGCCGTTATTGTGACTCATCATCTCGGTAGTATCAATAGCCACCACCAGGCTGTCCAGCCCCTGCCCTCAGCCAACTCTCCTACTCAGTTTTGTTGCTGATGTTATGGTGGCAATTACTGCTGTAATGCTCCAGTCTGCCAGTTGTAAGCAAACCCCTCTGCATGAAGCTAAGTGCCAGCCATCCATGGACATCATTCATCCTGCAGGGGCCATCTGTTTCTTGGTGTGTTCCTTTATTTTAGTACTGTATTAACTTCACATACATGTTTTCTCTCTGGTTTGTTGTGTGGGCTTGGCTTCTGTTGGACTTCAGGCTGCATGTGCTCAGGGTTTTTGTTTCCCCGAGTGCCTGCTAGCACGGGATTGCACTAGCAGAGTTACTTCTCTGGTGCCTTGACTCCTTTGTTTAGGCCCTCAGCTAGAGGGTGAGGGGGGAGTCCTATTCACCTAATTGTACACACCTAATTGTGCTTGCAGGGGTTGAGCTCTGGCTCTTTGGTCCCGCCTCTCAACCATCAATCAACAGGTTTACAGGTTCTCGAGCCTATTGGGCTCTATCATATCTACACTTGAAACTGTGTATGGAGTCAGCCTCCACCACATCACTTCCTAATGCATTCCATTTGTCAACCACTCTGACACTAAAAAAGTTTTTCTAATATCTGTGGCTCATTTGGGCACTCAGTTTCCACCTGTGTCCCCTAGTGCATGTGCCCCTTGTGTTAATTAAATAGCCTGTCTTTATCTACCCTATCAATTCCCTTGAGAATCTTGAATGTGGTGATCATGTCCCCCCTAACTTTTCTGTCCTCCAGCAAAGTGAGGTTTAATTCTCGTAGTCTCTCCTCGTAGCTCATACCTCTCAGTTCGGGTACTAGTCTGGTGGCAAACCTTTGAACCTTTTCCAGTTTGGTCTTATCCTTGACTAGATATAGACTCCATGCTGGGGCTGCATACTCCAGGATTGGCCTGACATATGTGGTATACAAAGTTCTGAATGACTCTTTACACAAGTTTCTGAATGCCGTTCTTATGTTGGCCAGCCTGGCCAACATAAGGCTGGCTTATGGTTGTGCAACAACCTGGCTATTGGTTGTGCTGGGGTGCACCGGGGTTCAGGTGCTTGTTTATATTGCGTGCCATGGTTGCCATTTATAACCTGGTTATTTTGGTAGCGTTTGATGTGTTTTTCCAGAGAGCAGTTCGGTGCCTGGGGTTTTTGCTTGGTTAGCAGCCTTCAGGCCTTGGTAATCCTAATGCAGGCCTCTGGTATAAATCTATTATGGACTCGGCCTGACGAGCCTGCTCTTACCAAGAGTAAGCTTGATGGGTGTTCAACTTTGCTACCTGATGATGATCATTCATTCTGTTTCCGTCATACTGCCTGCTTGAGTCAGTGATACTTACGACCCTGAGCGAGTCCTGTGAGGTTTGTTTTCACAGGGTCTTTGCACATACTATACTGATTTGGCATTGCTTTTAGAAGCTTTTCAGGCAGTTGCTGCTTTGTGAGCAAGGTTTACTTTAGTTAGACATTTGGGGCATATCAATCATCTGGATGCCCTTGAAATGGCCCCAATTGTATTTAGGGACTGGAATTGGTGGTGTTGGTGGACTGAGTCAACCCCTCCTCTTTTGTTCCCCGTGGGTGTGATTTGCCTGCTTCTGGTTTTATCCCCCCCTCCCTGGTTCCAGCTGCAAAGTACCCGAGGGTTTCAGAGTCAAGTCAGGGTATTTTCTCGTGTCTCGGGAGGCATAACATTTTAACATAACCAAAGGCATAACAGGGGGGGGTACAACATTTTTAGTTACCTTTGTTAAAATGCTACCAGGGTAAAGAAGGAAAAGGAACTACCAGTTCAAGAATTGGACAAAAGTATGGGAAAATGGTCACTGTTATAAGGATTGTCATGGACACACCAATTCAAGTATAAGTTGATGGGAGAAGTGCATAGAAAAAGATCAAGGAAGTAGTGGTGTCAAAAAGTCAACACAAGATGTTCTTAAACTTAAAGTTCTTACTGACTTAAAGAACACAAAAGAGGTGTTAAGTCTGCAGATACAAACAATGCTCTCTTCTGTCATGTTAGGGATTCTAATCATCCTATTGATTGGTCTTCCTCCAAAATAATCTTTCCTGCCTCTACTCTACACAGACGCCGTCTTGTTGAATCGGCTCTAATACACAACCTATCCAACATGAACTTGAGTCCTGGCTTTGTTGCTGTGGACTCTTCCCTTTCACAGTATATACTCAAATGTTGTAATCTTTCTAACAAACGTGACCTAACATAAGCTTACCCTTCCATTTATCTTTCTTTTTCCTTTTTCGTGTTCTGTCCATTATTTTCTCTTACGATCCCTTCGGGATTCGGGGACACTAAAGCCCCGAAATCATCTCAAGATAACCTCAAGAAGATCCCTTGCTATCCTCTTCTTATTCCTATTACTATCCCCCTTCTTATTGGGTGGTTGTAAATAAAGAGCTGCTTCGTATGGGCCAATAGGCCTTCTGCAGTTACCTTTGTTCTTTTTCCTGTTACAATCCCCTCTACTACACCTTACCTTACATACCTTTTGCCTTGTTCCTCACCTCACTCTTGCCTATTTATTGCCATCATCTCCTTCCCTCATCTCACATTCACGGGAGACATCTCCCGTCACGCAGGGTGCAGTTGCACCTCCACACATCTCCAGTATCAGCTCTTGATACTGGTAATGGCTCAAAAGGGCCACCACTTACGGGCTATTCGTGCCCGTGCCACCTTTTGGGTGGCTTAATCTTCATCAATCAATCAATCTTCCCTCATCTCAGAACTCAGGACTCACACAGAACAGTTACAGCCCCGCTCCTGTGCCTGGTAAGTCCATTACGGGCTCACTATAACCCGTGCTACTTGGAACTTAGTTCCCAGTAGCTGAATCTTTAACAACAACAACTTCCCTCATCACAATCGACTTGAGAATGGTCCAGGACGGACCGAAACGTTTTCCATTCGTCTCTTCATTTTCCAGTGTGTGGATTGGTCTGCTGTATCTGGCTTATGCCTCTAGAAGTAGGATGGAGATGAGTAGTGGTCGTAATGTAGTTTGCATCATCAGCAACAGTCTGGAGACATGTCAGAGGGTTCAGGGATGGGGTGGAAATGTGTTCCTTCCCTGGAGCTGCAGCCACTGGCTAGGTTCAATATCCAGATGAAGGGAAACAAGAATACACCAGTCTCCATGAACAGAAAATGTGAGCCACATAAAGCTGGTGTCTTCTGCCACCAGAGTTGTGAGTTAAGGAGGAGCCAATAGCACCTGGCTGAGGGCTGTACACAAGAGCTCCTTTGCCTCACGAATGCAACACCCATTAGGAGTGATTCATTTAAATAATATAATTCATACAATTTTAACATTTTATTTTATAAAGAAATTAAATTAACAATTTTCTGTAGAAAGTGACTGCCTTACAACACAAATTGGATGCTAAGTATTTCATATAGCAGTACCAAAATAATTAAATTAGATGTCTGGGCTTTAAAAGGTATTCATTTACATATCATGCTTCATACATTATATACATTTCTATTAAATTCAAACATGGAATTGAACAACAACAACAATTCAGTACCTGACCTGAGACCTAAATACCAACATAAGACACTGATGTTTGATTTTTTTTTTTTTAAGTTATTGGGGAAGTTGCAAAGGTGCAAGTTCCTAGTACAAAGTGCATTAATTAAATATGTTTGGTTTATAACCATGTAAATAACATGTGATAACATTATACAGTACTGTATTATATTTTAAAATTAAAAAAATAAAAGAGGAATGCATCCCTTTCCTCACACTACTAACATTGTAAAAATCATTAAAATAATAAAGATTAACAGAACATTAAAATTCCTTCAGTCACAATCATAATTTGTTTAATAGGACTTGGGGTGAAATGCAGGATATGAGGCCACTTATGAGTCAGGGATGCCCCACTGTACAGTATATACAGAATTATAATTGTATTAATTATGTGACTACTGTACCTGTGTAAGGAGATGCTTTTTATTTCGGTACATTACATGTTATCATGTACAATTTTATCAGTCAAATCTGGTTCATACATTTGATAAATTTAGTCCTATAAGAGTAACTAAACACTAGAAATACCATCCTATAGGGTTAAAACTTCCTGCTACTTTTGATATGGCATATGAAAACCTTCTCTATTATACTCTTCTGTGAACATTATAGTGAATGATTGGGTGTGTGTTTTTGCAAGCTTTTGCTTTAGCCTTTTCTAGTACAGCTACCTACCTGTTATTGGTTCAAGGATCAATGTTCCCGAGGCCCATTCTCTGACCAGGGTTCCTAGACTTCTAACTTCTTGAAGCTGCTGGCTCATCACCCCATGAAAGCCATAAGCCAGTATTTTTTGTATATATATATTTATATACTGTATATACAGGAGTTCTCACATTCTTGTGAAGTCACTAGCACGCATAGCATTTTGGGCAGGTCCTTAATCCTAGTTTTCTCCTGGAATATGACCCTCCAAGTCGTTTAACAACCAGGTACCCATTCACCGTTGGGTGAACAGAGGCTACAGTTAGAGTGGCACCCCAGGCCAGAGCACTCGTGAAGCACCGGGCGAGTGCTGTTGAGTATTGATGACCGATATGCATGAATACAAAAGTGGGCAATGATGATATGCATGAATACAAAAGTGGGCAATGATGATATGCATGAATACAAAAGTGGGCAATGATGATATGCATGAATACAAAAGTTTCTCTTATAAAGAGAAACCCTTATTTCTCTTATGGAGAGAAACCTAACCCAGACAATTTCACTGCATGTCTAAAGAGACACGGGTCTGTGTGTTCCCTCGGCCAGGAGAATTTTTCTGAGGCTAGAGCATAACTGCCAGATGAATGATAATTCTACAAGTGAAATCAATGTTTGAGAAATTGTCTGGGGAGCACACCAGTCAGAGGGGCCCTGAAGTGGTCAAGATATCAGAATCCAGAAGAACTGACAATTCTGAATATATTAATAGGAATACACAGTATTAATATTGTTCCATATTTTATATGGATAATGTTGTCACATAATACTGATATGATCAATATTATGAGAATGTTACATGAAAAAATGTATATCCATCTTTATTGTGTAATTTTTACCTGATTTACCCGATAGCCACTAACACTAGTGGCCTCGACGAGGACAGGAAGCCTGTACAGTACGAGCTGAACAAAACATTTCTATAATATAATTCTATAATAATAATTATAATAATTTCTATAATAAAAAGCCAAGCTAAGTAACGAGAAAAAATGGAAATTTCTTTACATGATGGATTAGCAACAGATTTCACTGCATTTATCCCCAACCCATGTCTGTCTGTCTTTTTTTTTTTATTTTACATCTGAATTTCAGAGGGAAATCCTGTGAGTTAGGATTTATTAGGTCCGTTGTTTAGAGGGTCCACTATAGGTAGGTCCAGATCTGGACGGATGTAGTGTACTGTACATGTGAAAATATCCTTACATAAAATTCAGGTAAATTATTTCACATTCTGCATTATTATATTGCATGAGAAAATATCAGCCACTCTTTATTGCAAAGCACTGTATTTATTTTTCTTATTAAGACATTCATTTTATATATAATTTACAAACTAAAAAGGATAGACTGATCTTTATTAAGTTGTCCTTCACACTGGCTGTTTCTGTGTACAAAGGTCAATACAATGTAACAAAACACAAGCTAGGGCATATGCAAGTGAGAAGGAACTATTCCCCTTAATTTTAATAAAATTACATGGCAATAATAACAATTTTATTAAATTAAAATATCATTAACATATTAATGATAAAATAGAAATCCATAACAAATCTGACATTGATATTTAGTTGTTATTGATAACAACCAATTAGATGTCAATAATAATTAGATGGAGAAACTCTTTGGAGCAGAACAGCAGAATCAAACAGATTAGACAGCAATGATAACCAATTAGCTATCAATAATAACCTATTAGATATCAATAATAACAAAGAGTTCATGCTGATTACCAGTGTCATACACCTGCATACTAGCATATGTTATGGCCTTCACTTCTGTGCCCTGTGGGTGCTTCTCCAGGCTGAACTCTTCGCCATATAATACAGCTTTCAAACTAAATTCTTCTTTATTAAATTCTTTGACGACAACTTTACGTGCTATGAAAAAAGGTTCTGCTGAAAATATGTATAAACACTCATCAAGAAACTGATACAGTAGGCTTTCAATGTCATGTCCGCTGGCTTCAATTTCCTGCCGGTCAGTAATCTCCACTGTGTCTATTTCAGTCATATAGCCAAACATCGCAACTGCACTCTGTTCAAATGCCTCACCCAAACTCTCGCCCCATGCATGAATTTGAACATCTGCAGGATGGTCAAGGTATTCATACTTGCAGGTGGGAAGTTCAAGTTCTTCAGGGGTAAAATCCATAGTTTCTTTCTGCAAAGATCAATACAAATAGTTTTGTTTTGTTAACCATTAAACTACTAAACTATTTGAAAGTCCTACATCCAGGTGTGCATAGAATTTTTTTTTAAACCTGTAAAGATCAATCACATATGACAATTTGTTTTATTCCCTCAAACTGAGGCAAACTGCTCACTACTGTACAACACTCATATGTCCTAAACTACTCGAGCTTCTGTTGAAGGATGTTTGACAATAATATCATACTGGAACAAGTAAAATGCCACTGTTTCACCCATGATTTTGAGGCCCATACTTATGTTCACTTTGAAAGGATATTCCAGTAGTACAAACATATACAGTATTCTACTGTATATTATGATCTATATTATGCCCACCTTTTTAATAATATAATCATAACTGGCAACAAATTCACTTTACTGGAAAATTAATGCTGTGCTATTTTAAATTGTATTTTTGCATCTACTGTGATTATTTTCATAATTAAAAGTTTACAGTAAAGTGAATGTGTTGCCAGTTATGATGATACATATTGCAATAAGGTGTCATTGTAACAGAAGAGTACAGGAAACTTTTATTAAATCATATACTGCATATCTTTGCTCTTATTTGAAATACTTATACACTACTATATTGTATATTAAACACTTGAAAACAAAGCTTATTTCTTTATTTCAAATGGAATATAAAGCACCAATATGAATTACATAACTGATCAGTATTGTGGTGCCTGTGTTCACCCCTTGGCCAGTCAACAGTGCCGAGGTGTCCAGATACCGACGATTGTTAGGTCTTCTTTACTTAACTACATCTTAGCTTTCACATAAAATATATTCCTTAATGTATAGTAACAATAACACTAATATTTCTATCTTGCTTATCATATACTATATATAACTTTTAAGTTTATATATATATATATATATATATATATATATATATATATATATATATATATATATATATATATATATATATATATAATGTCGTACCTAGTAGCCAGAACGCACTTCTCAGCCTACTATGCAAGGCCCAATTTGCCTAATAAGCCAAGTTTTCATGAATTAATTGTTTTTCGACTACCTAACCTACCTAACCTAACCTAACTTTTTCGGCTACCTAACCTAACCTAACCTGTAAAGATAGGTTAGGTTAGGTTAGGTAGGGTTGGTTAGGTTCGGTCATATATCTACGTTAATTTTAACTCCAATAAAAAACAATTGACCTCATACATAATGAAATGGGTAGCTTTATCATTTCATAAGAAAAAAATTAGAGAAAATATGTTAATTCAGGAAAACTTGGCTTATTAGGCAAATCGGGCCTTGCATAGTAGGCTGAGAAGTGCGTTCTGGCTACTAGGTACGACATATATATATATATATATATATATATATATATATATATATATATATATATATATATATATATATATATATATATATATATATATATATATATATATATATATATATATAAATTACACAATTCTTTGGTGGCATGCAGGGCTCAGTGCTCCCAGAACGAGCACACAATTTATAAAAAAAACATACTGTATATCCTCTCTCTCACTTCAGTTAATTTTATGGTAAATGATTTAAAATGTGGCTTATATTCCTGTCTTTGTGATGATATAAAAAACCAGCGTTGAATGTAATGAAATGCCATTTTCTGGGTAAGACCCAGAGGCTCCCTGGAGCTATCCAGGCTGATATGCTAATGTCAGACTTTGGCATCAGTCATATGTATGGAGTTCTGTGGGCCTACCGGGGACCACAAGCCAGAACCTGGCCCCCCTCAGAAGAGGCACGAGGAGCAATGGCCTATAAAAAAAACCCGTGTAGTTGGAAGCATTCTATGTCTGCCATCGACCAGGTCAGGCACCCAGAAAGGTAAGCGTCCGAAAACAAACCCCTATTCTGGTGAAAATTGCGACAAAAAGCCAAACAAGTGGATAGAACTCCCCAAACAGGATCGGGTAAACGAGTATGATGTCACACATCGCCGCGCAGCTGTCTGCGCAGCTCCCCCCTCCCCGGTAGGGGGAAGGGGGAGCCCCAGACCCCCGCACCGGCAATCCACCTCTCAGTTCTGAGGCTGGACATCAAAACACGCAAAAATCCGCCGACCGGGGAAAGGGAGGGTTGCCGGGGAGCCTGCGGGTCTCGCCCAGAAAATGGCGTTACTGTACATTACATTCAACGCTGGTTTTCTGGGGGAAGCCCCGTCGGCTCCCCGGAGCTACCTACCCAAAGACAAAAACAAGAGGGACCTAACTAGGGAGACGGAAGACGCACACCCCCAATGCGAAGCGGAGACAAAAACTGCAACAACCAACTCAAGGTCACACAGGCCCGACAAGGCCCAGGAACATCAACGAAGGAATGCCGAGCCAACCAACGAACGACGCGGGCACAGAGACAGACAGCAGGCTGTCAGGAACGAACCACCCTGCGGACGACCCGAGAGAACCACACCCTGGAATGGGGAAGAGGGGAACTTGGAACAACCCAAAGCGTGACTCCGGATTATGAAAGTACATGTATCTTTGCTTGAGCTTTAAATATGTCCATGGTAAAGAATTTTAAATGAAGCTTATATTTCTGTCTTTCTTGAGACATATAAAACATTTGTTTATTAACGAACCTATGTGAAATAAACACTGTTTTGAGAAAGTTCGCTGCTACATCAATCAGTTTGTGCAGGGTTTGGAGTTCAATGAAAGAAGCAACTTTAATAAAATGACATGGTCAAATATCTTTGGTTTTACTTAAACTATTTTACTAATAAGAGCTTCTACATATACATTATATTTCCGTCTTTCTTCTGATATATAAGTAATTAATGTTTATTATCAAGATGTTTTCAACTATTTTCATTGGGTGCTTGTCTGTTCCAACATGGCTGCACATTTTAGGAATTCTATACATAGGTTAACCTCACTGACAAATAGGTCAGATTCCAATATAGTGCAGAACAGTCACTGGTGGCACGTTGCAGTGGAGTCACTGGTGGCACATTGCAGTGGAGTCACTGGTGGCACGTTGCAGTGGAGTCACTGGTGGCACGTTGCAGTGGAGTCACTGGTGGCACGTTGCAGTGGAGTCACTGGTGGCACATTGCAGTGGAGTCACTGGTGGCAGGCCGAGGTATGCAGCCGTCGGAATGCAATAAATCATCTAAATATAAAATAATAATAGTGTAAACTTACAAGTGAGCCTGGATCTCCTACAAAGACTGTTGTTAATAACAGGTAATGTTTGGGGTGAAGGAGTTGCCCCTGGCGAGGACTGGTGGGTGCTGGCGGAATGTTTACCTCGGTTGTGACCCGTGAGGAGAGTGCGGTCAGCTCGTACACGCACACCTCTTGCACCACGTGCGTTCACACCCGAGTAAAGTATGTACCCCTTTACACCATCACTACTCCATACATAAACCTTCACGTCATGTGTCCTGGCCTATCCTAGCGATAAGAAGATCAAATTTAGTTTTATATATGGAGTACACGAGGTTTTTCTATCATATGTACGTACACGGTTTATTTTGTAGACGTGAACTCTTTCGTATATACATGTGCCTCGTGTTATAACTTCTGGTTTCGTCTACCTATAATTTTTATTAAAGTTTTTTTCCTTCAGGAATGAGAGTCTGAAATAAATAAGAAGTCTACTACAGTATTTTCAATAATACTGAATGCTATCAGGATAGATAACAGTTCAATGTGCAAAGTAGATGCCTAGTTACATTTTTTTTAATTGTGCTTCCATTGGACTCATGAACAACAGCAGCACTTCCCGCGCTCCCTGTAGCTGTATTGAGTGATACATTGGTGTACAGTATATGGTCTGTTGGGTGTTGGGTTTAGTTTGTAGGTTGTATATGTGTTCAAGGGTACTGTTGGTGACAGTGGGTACTTTGCTAGCGGTTACTTGGGCACTTGAGGGACTTGGGCACTTGAGGGACTTGGGTGCTTGAGGGACTTGGGTGCTTGAGGGACTTGGGTGCTTGATGTACTTGGGTGCTTGAGGGACTTGGGCACTTGAGGGAGATGGGCACTTGAGGGACTTGAGCACTTGAGGGACTTGGGCACTTGAGGGACTTGGGCACTTGAAGGACTTGAGCACTTGAGGGACTTGGGTGCTTGAGAATACCCTCACGCACCCTTACGAACATAACTTGCATTAAGTAATTCTAATACAGTAGTGGATTACCGGGTCCACGATGTAATAGCCTAATGATCTATAGCCTAATGATAGCCTAGCAGTCTCCGTGGCGCAGTGGTAAGACACTCGCCTGGCGTTTCGCAAGCGCCTTGCCTTGGGTTCGAATCCTGGCCGGGGAGGATTGACCGGGCGCCAATCCTTAACTGTAGCCTCTGTTCACCCAGCAGTGAATGGGTACCTGGTTGTTAAACGATTCGGCGGGGTCGTATTCCGGGGAAATTAGGGTTAAGGACCTTGCCCGAAACCCTATGCGTAATAGTGGCTTTACAAGAATGTAACTCTTGATATTATCCTCACCAGGATAAGTACTACTGCCTCTGAAGACAGCTGCATCCAATTTATAACCAGTTTATAGAACATCATATTCATGTTGTTTATTCAACACGAACTATTCATTGATATGTAAATGGGCGCATTTCTGGCTTTGGACTTCGAATGCAATTTTCCCCTAGTGCTGCTAACTGGTAGCATTTCATAGCTCGAGAACCATTTTTCTAATTAGCTGACGGGCTTTGTGTAGTGAGTTTGGATGTGATAATTGTCTACTTGTTTTACCAATAATTTTGTTTATGCCTTGCCAGGCTTTGCTCAAGGGAGTATTCATTCTGTGAAAGTTCAGTCATTCTCTCCCTTGCTGCTGCAAGCGAGAGAAAAGCCTAACAAGCCTGAAAAAGTTTCAACGTCTCAGGAGTTCTTAAGTTCTTACAGTCTTTATCTGTTTGTCTAGCAATCGATTTAAGTTCTTTTAAGTTTAGGATCATCTTAATGCTGGTTCTGTCTAACTTTTCGGCTGCTATTTCGTTTCTTTTGGTTTGACTCGCTAATTCTGACGGCTTCATAAATTTTATTTATAAGATCATCATAATTTTTCTTTATACATATTAAGGGTCAATTTTAATACCAGTTTTCTATGTAGTCTATGAAGAAATTTTTCCTGTTCTTTTCTCACTGTTTGCCTACGTCTTCTCAGCGTAACATGATTGGTTAGGTTAAGGCACTTTACTAAGAAGGTTTCTTAAAGTTGGGAACGCTGACCGGGAGCCTGACGGCTGAGTGGACAGCGCTCGGGATTCGTAGTCCTGATCGAGGTTCCGGGTTCGATCCCCATTGAAGGCGGAAACAAATGGGCAGAGTTTCTTGCACCCTGATGCTCCTGTTCACCTAGCAGTAAATGTGAACCTGGGAGTTAGACAGCTGCTACGGGCTGCGTTCTGGGGGTTATCTTGAGATGATTTCGGGGCTTAGCGTCCCCGCGGCCCGGTCCTCGACCAGGCCTCCTTTTTGTTACACTCACCAGGAAGCAGCCCGTAGCAGCTGTCTAACTCCCAGGTACCTATTTACTGTTAGGTAACAGGGGCATCAAGATGAAAGAAACTTTTTGCCCATTTGTCTCTGCCTCCACCGGGGATCGAATCTGGAACCTCAGGACTACGAATCCGAAGCGCTGTCCACTCAGCTGTCAGGCGTGTGTTAAAAAAAAGGAGCCCTGGTCGAGGACCGGGCCGCTAAGCCCCGAAATCATGTCAAGATAACCATCTCAAGATAACACTCCCGAGAACGGGCTGCACTATAACATGTGTCAGCTTCCCTCTTCCTTTTCCCTCAGATAAATTTCTGCTGCCTACAAGAGAGAGCCAGCTTAGCTTAGCTGCCAACACCCACACATGGTGTCAGCAAGGCGGACAGTCCGCCTGCTTTCATACCTCTCACTGTATTTCCCACTTCTATACTTCCCTTCACCTACACTACACTACACACAGAAATCACAATTGCGTGATGCATCAAATGAACAAATCCACAAGGGCCGTGACGAGGATTCGAACTGGGATGTTCTCGGACGCAGGTTCGAATCCTCGTCACGGCCCTTGTGGATTTGTTCATTTTTCCTTTACCTATGCCTCTCCATCCTCTTTACCCCCCCCCCCCGAAAAAATAACAATCTTAGCTGTCCCAAGTCTTTTGGTGAAGTGATTGATACATTCAGCGTTTTATTATCAATACGGCCCAGCACCATTATTTACTGCTGAAACCTTACCGACAGCACTAGAAGTGCTGTCACCCAGGAGATAGTATATCGGGGTGTGTCGTCCACTGATAGCCTCAACATAAGTACTTCCTTTGATAAGTTATTTAATATATTACAACACTGTTTCCTTCTATATTCTTGGCACTCAATATTTAGCAATTTGGTACATGATCGTCCTTATATTGTCTGTATTTTCTTATATATATATCTCTTATATTATATACGATTTCTTATATTGTGCCTCTGTAATTGTTCACTCACTCGTATCTTTCTCAGATGCGGTGCACTTACGATAATTAAAAAAAATAAAGTTAGTCCACAATCAACCCGGTGAAAATTGCCACTAAATAGGTAATACCAACTTGGGAATTATGTCCTTAAGTATGTTGTGATCCCTCGAGAGGACATATTATTGTCAAGAAATCCTTCATCTACTTTTATATTCAATTCACTACTATAATAACCTCTGATCTCATGAGTTTCTACTTGTTCCTTTGGTACCAGATTCACGAAGCAGTTACTCAAGCACTTACGAACGTATACATCTTTTCTCAATCTTTGACGGCTTTGGTTACATTTATTAAACAGTTTACAAGCATGAAAACTTGCCAATCAACTGTTTTTATTGTTATAAACAGCCTACTGGTGTTTCGGAGCTCATTAACTGCTTAATAATTGTAAACAAAGCCGCCAAAGATTGAGAAAAGATGTACAGGTTCGTAAGTGCTTGCGTAACTGCTTCGTGAATCTGCCCAAGTTCTGTTATATACATTGTCCCATATCATTTTCTGGTACTTTCTATACAAAAAAAGGTAAAAATGATTGAAATGTTGATTACTCCACACACGTAGTTTTGAAATAATTATAAGCAAGACCATTGAGCATGTTGGCATAAACTAATCTCTAATCTTTCTCTGTTATCTATCAGAATTATCTCTTTCCTATATTGGCAGATCCGACCACATTTTATCTCAAATTTCACGTCATGTTTGTCAGAAACGAGATTAGGCTTCAATTGAAGAGTTCTACTGGAGTTACAATTATAATCCTTGTCAAGTGTCATATTAGCAACTATATTCCATTACACATTCTAGACTTTGGCCTTTTCTTATTTCCTTCTGCTTTCCTTTTCTTCTCAATACGTGGCTTTCTATAACTGTGATCTATATCATTACGAAATATTCTCGGTCTTCTTCTTGATAGTAGGTGCAGTTTGCATGAAGGGTTTGTCCTCCCGATGACTGCACCAGTACACATGTTGGTAGAGGTGTTGATGTTGAGGATGATAAGAGTTTCAAAAGTGCTTGTTGCGTTGTGCTGTAGATAGAGGAGCGGCGACTAAAACAGAGGTGTATGTTAGAGGGAGACTAGATTCACGAAAGCACTTACGCAAACGCTTACGAACGTGTACATCTTTCCTCAATCTTTGACGGCTTTGGTTACATTTATTAAACAGTTTCCTAGCATGAAAACCTCCCATTCAACTGTTGTTATTGTTATAAACAGCCTCCTGGTGCTTCGGAGCTCATTAACTGTTTAATAATTGGAAACAAAGCCGCCAAAGATTGAGAAGAGATGTACAGGTTCGTAAGTGCTTGCGTAAGTGCTTTCGTGAATCTGGCGCGTCCCAGCCTTAATCTGGTCATCGCTATATCAATTTCTCTGCTTTTATATCTGACACGTTTCCAAGTTTCCCATTTCTTTTTAATGGACCCATAGTACAAAGCTGAGCATCACGTTTTCCATTTCGTCGCAAAATCTTGGGTGATGGTATTTTTGAAGGCTCCTTTACGTGCAACATGGGGTAATGTGAGGCGTGTTGGGCATCGTTTTGGCTACTTGGTCTCTTTGTGCCAATGTTTTCAGGCTTTTCAAGTTTTATCGAAACACTTGGGGTGACGAGAAGGGCACGGGGAGTACCTGACACTGCCCAGATGACAGTGGAGGTACTGGGCACTGCTCCATCACCAGTGGAGGTACTGGGCACTGCCCCGCCACCAGTGGAGGTACTGGGCACTGCCCCGCCACCAGTGGAGGTACTGGGCACTGCCCCACCACCAGTGGAGGTACTGGGCTCTGCCCTGCCACCAGTGGAGGTACTGGGCACTGCCCCATCGCCATTGGAGGTA